AATAATAATAGAATAGAGAGAATACATTCCCTTAACGAGAACATATTAGTATGAATGTCACCAAACATCAAGAAAAAACTTTTTGTATAAGAAAAAATTTCTAAATTTTTCTTCATAAATAACTTCTTATTATTATTATTTTTTGTTAAAAAATATTTGTTGCCGAAACAAATAGGTAAACAAAAAAATATAAACACAATTTCCAAAATTTTTTATTTCCATACACTTAATTACTTCAATGCACATCTTCTCTCAGTACATACACTTATTAATTTGGTTATTAATTAATTTTCTTAATTCACACACTAAAAGTTACAATTATATCTTTCACTAATAACTATTGTACACACTACTTAACCCTCATTTTCACACACTTGTTGAGTGACATGCTTCTAGATTTGTAGACCCATTGTAGATCCACATGAAAACCATTCAAGACCAAAGTGTAAAGTGAAGTAAAGTGAAAACAAAATCTTCCGTTGAAGACTCTATTGAACCTCCATTGGAAATACTATTGAAAACCCTCTAAAATATTATTGAAGATGAGACATCTTTTTATTTTGTAATTGCATTTACCATTTCTAGATCTCTGTGCACTCTATTGCCATAAAACCCTAGGTTTTTTTTATTATGTTTTTTGATTTGGGGATTTTAGCATTGATTTTCTGAAATTATACATTTAATTGGAAGCTTAACTTCCAAATAAAAGTGGTTAGTTTGACAAATTTGTTTTGAAAAAAAAAATAAAAAACTTTCGACAGTTGATGTCCGAATATAATGAAATAATTCGGCATTAGTTGTCCGATTGAAAACCACAAAAGGAAAAAAAAAATCTGCACGAAAAAATTAAGGCTCCGTTTGGTTTGGCTTTCAAATTATAGTTTCACTAATTGATTTGAGTGTGGTGTTTGTTTTGAGCTTTCAAAATTATTTGAAAAAAAAATTATTCAAAAAAATTACTTAAAAACAATTAATTGAAAAAAAAAATCATTTTCTTATTTGAGTATTTTAAAAATAGTTTAGTTATGACTATTGATCAGAAAACGGATATCGAGTTATGAGTTGTGTGTTTGATTATCAATTATAGGTTGAATTAAGTTTTGAAAACTATTTTGAAAATTCATTACCAAACAAATTTTCTTATTTCACATGTCACATCAAACTTTCAAAACTCAATTCCACATACAATTCAAAAACCATAACCAAATAAATTTTTTACACTCAAATCATAATTCCACAACTCACAAACTCAAAATACAATTCATATTCTCAAATCATATTTACAAAACTCTATCAAACGCAACCTAACATTTTCATCACTAATAGAGTATAAAATTATAGATTAAAGCAATATGAGAGTTATTATAAGAGAATTGCTTTGCAAGCAATAGAGGAGTATAGAGTGTGTAGCAAGCAAAGTGACAGCAATAGAAAAATTATGATTTTATTATTTTTTTACTCAAAATGTGTATATTGAGATTTTTTTATTTTTAAAATATGTGTATAAAAAATATTTTTATATAATATTATAGGTGTTGATGGATATCTATTATGATCATTTTAGTTTAAGATATAATATTATTAAAATAATATTTTATTAAATATATAAACTGAGATAATTAGATATATAGAAATAAAATTGCCGTGACGGTGGCAAAACGAAGAAGTGAATTAACCAATGTAGGTGGAGAGTAGGTGGATTTTAACAATATATATTAAAATAATTAAGTGGGTAAAAATAGAATTTCTCATAATTCCCTAAAATTATCCGTTGGTTTGTATTTTAGTCCAGCCGTTATTGAAATCAGACCAACAATGCATCATAAATTGTTGGGGGTAGTGAAAGTGATAGAAAGGTTAGCGCTACCTTGCTTTGTCCTTCCGTAATTTTCTTATCATTTGAAAGTGATAGATTTGTATCATTCTAATGCCCAGTCTATTTTAGGAAGCAAAGTTTTTTATATAAAGATTTTTTTTTTAATCTAATTTTCTTATTGTTAAGAGTATTCCAATGTTTCATCAAATTTTTTTATTAAATTTGAGTAAAAAATTTAATTTGATGTCATGCACTTCAACTGTCTTAATCAATTCGGCTAGTTGTCCGAACGCTCATTCTGCCAGTTATCCAATGTAGAGCAAAAATACTTAATTCATCTCAAAATCCAATTATCCAGGAGGATGACCAGGTGAACGTCCTATTCAACGGCCACCTACAAATTTAATGAAAGAATAAAGCTTTGATTCGATAAAAAAAGTAACTTTCCCTTCATTTCTTTGATGAAACGATTGGAATTGAGTTCTCCCAAAAAAAAATTTAGTTATCAAATTTGAATTTGATATACAATTTGATGAAGGACTGGAGATGGCTTTAAATACACATATAATTTAGTCTATATCCCGTCTAATATCTAGAATATTAGATGGTGATATTTGAGCTTGTCAAGTTTACCATATGCTTAAACAATATCTCTGCATTAGAGGAAAGCTTAGTTCGTTAATAAAGATACAAGAGATTCACAATGTGTCTAATAATATGAAAATTGATTCATTTTATAGAATTATAATTTTACCAATAATTAGTTGTTTCATAATATTTTCATTTAAAACCCCAACCTCTCTCCATTGGATTGTTTAACCATCATCACACCATCAACATGTGTCATGGGTCAATAGTGACAAGAAACTATTACCGTATATGAGAGCTTCTCCTTGTAATTGTAATAAAATGTAATAAAGGAAAAATATTTGACATCTTAAAAAAGACTCCATGATTTTACTCATAATGATATGATAGAATACGTGTCAATTTTTAATTTGTTACACATTTAATGATGGTGGACTCAACTCCCATGTAACATCATTGTGGGTGAATTTATAGACATAAATATGTGAGTCTTTAACATTACTCTTAGTAAAATTTAAATCCTTTAAATATAAAAAATTTCAACTCAAAGTTAGAAAATTTTATTATTGACAAAAATAAATCAAAAAATAAGATACTTTATTTGGTACCTTGTTAGCGTTTTGGTAACTTTCTTTTAAGAGCTTTTTATTTCTTTTTTTAGGGGGTTGGGTGGGGTTTATGTTAATCTTTTCTGATTTTATTTTATTGATTTTGGTATAAAAATTCTTAAACTGACCAATTTAATAAAATCATCGAGTTTGCAAATGTATAACTTAAGCCTACCCACTTGTTACCTGAATCAATTTTCAACAAATTGTTCAATTACGGTAAAGCTAAGCCTTGTACGAGTTCAAATCAAACCACTAAAATTTGAAGAAAGGAGAATTACCTAACAATAATTATACCATTTTATTGAGAGATTTACAAAGCGGGTCAATTCATGTGTCTCATAAATTTGTTTTCACTTCTTGTTTTTGATGATTTTTGTGACATTTTTTACTCTAAAAAAACTTTGAAATATCTCAATTCTTTTTATATATAGAATTGTCGTGAAAATATTTTGATTAGCTCGTCGCAAGGCTTGGCTTTAAGTGTTGGCGCTACTAGCCAAGCGGCAATGGGCATGTATTAGAGTGCTAGTAGACAACATTGTACATTGCAATAGGCTAATCTTGACCTTCATCGAGTTTGTTTTGATGTTGTTTGGTGTATACCTTAAACTGTTTTTATATATAATATTATATTTTTATGTATTTGTTTTTACATATAACGTGACAAGTTTAAATTACTTATATCAATATTATTGAATATATATAATATTACAGTAATAAATTTTATAAAATTAAAAATCTAATATGACTTTTATTAAATGAAATTCTAATTACACTATTGAACCTATTTAAGGTTTGATAGGAAACTAAGCTCAAGACCTAATGCCTCAATAAATAATATTAGTTTATTTGACTCTTTTCATACTCAAAATCAAAATCTCTCCACTTCAATGGTGTAATTGGGAGAATTAATATTGCATATTTTTCTCTTAAAAAAAGAAGTTGTAATAACATCATTTTTTGTGATTAACCCATGCAAAAGACGACTCGACACATACTGAATACAGTGGGCAAAGCATTAAATGACCATACTCATTTCTAATTCTAGACATGTCATTTCGATTCACACTCTTAAATTATGACATTATTTAAAGTTCTTACTATATAAATAATAATAATAAAAAAGACTCTATTTAATTTTTGAAATAATTTCTAAGTTTTGAATTGTATTTTAATAGATAAGTTTGTTAAAAAGAATTTTGAAAGTTGAAATATGTAGTTATGAGTTTTGAAAATAATTTTGGGATGATTTATAATTTTTTTAAGTTAAATAGATGGGTACAAGGGAAAATTTAATTGATTGATGAATAAAATGTAAGAGAATGAAAGAGAATAATTAAAAAAAAAAAAGAGAAGGAAAGATGAGAGAGATAATTGAGTTTTGAATTGTATTTTAAAATTTTAATAACCAAACAAACTAAACCAAACATTACTAAAAATTCCATGTAAAATACTTCAATTTAAAAAAAAAAATTTGTAAAAAAATACATTACTAAAAAAAAAAAAACTTCAATTTTAATTTGTATTGTTAAGTCTAGTAATTTCAAAAATTTTAATGTTTATTTGATTTAATTTTTCAAAAATTGTTCTTAGACGTTTTTTGTGTCAGTGAATTTTTTTATGATAAATTGAATGAAATATAAAAAAAATCCGTCTAATTAAAAAAAAAACAAAAACAAAGAGGGAGTAATTATTTCAAATTTATTAACCTAGTGCATTTAACCTCTCCCATGCCATGATGGACCCAAAAAAGATACTCCATTTTGCCATTGATATCATATCTAATCTAAAGTATTCAAATCAAACAACGAGAGCGTGTTTTACAGTCTCCATGAAGGCGCGTGATCACGCCAACAAACACACAAATTAGGCGTTGCGTACTACAACAAGCAGTGGGCGCACTACGCACTCCTCCTTTTATGGCTTCGAACTGAATACCAAACTTTCTCACATTCCCATAATACCCTTCACTGACATATATATTCACAATTTTATTTTTATTTATTTATTTTTCGCCCAAATTTATTTTTCTCACCAGCAACAAACAAACCCTAGAGAGATAAAAACATACAAATCCCAAAAGTTGAGAGATCGAAATCAAACAAACTCCTCAAGGTTCAAGATTAAGGCTTCTGCACAGGTCAATTTCAATTCTAGGGTTTCAATTTCTGCTCTTTCAATGCTTTCATGTCTTCATGATTAGTGTATTTGCGTGTTAATTTGTGGTAGTTTACAATCTTTTTGTACAAGAGTTCAATCAAATTTTGTTGTCAAAGTGATATAATTTCTGTTCTTTTGTTGAATTTTTGGGGAATTTAATGTTCGTTTGCTTAATTTTTTATGCTTAGTAGGTTTAGTTTTTATGGTTTAATTCAATTTGGTTGGTAAATAAAATATTTTTAGGACTTGATTTGATCAGTTTTTTGTACTCAGGATGTGATTTTGGTGTTTTATTAAATTTTTTAAAAAATTTTTTTGGTAATTTTTTATTTTATTTTATTTTATTTATTTTTTTTGGGAGGGGGGAGGGGATCATCAGTGCCCTTGCTTCCCAATTATCTGGTAAATGTTTTGGCATTTGCTAAATCTCTGGTTGTTCCCCTAAATTTCAAGGGATTATAGGGGTTTCAGCATAGATCGTCATGAAGGGAAATAGATTTGAAAGTTTGAATATTGATAAGGTTCTTCTTGATCTTTGTGTCCATTTTTGTCTGAATTTATGGAACCCTAGATATTCCATGGAAAATGAACACCTATATATATATATATAATTACCAGTTGTTTATATAGTTTATCATTATCAATCATAATCCTTTCTGTAAGTTTTTAGCCAGTGATGATTGTTTTCATATCTTGAGTCTGTTATTCTTATTGTTTAGTTTGATCATTGTTTTCATGGAGTGAATTAGGTTTTAGTTTCGTGTACAAGTTCTTAATTTTTGGTTTTGATAGGTTTCAGGGACCAGGGTTTTCATAATCATGAGGTTCAAGAGGGGAAGTAAAGTGGAGGTTATGAGCAAAAAGGAGGCGCTGATCTCATGGCGCTGTGCTGAAATCATCTCTGGTAATGGTCATACTTACAGTGTGAAGTATGATTGTTATCCGGGCTCAACAAATGAGGTTGTGGAGAGGGTGCCCAGGAATGCTATTAGGCCTTGTCCTCCTTCTATGGAAGGTGTTGAGATTTCTTTGGTTGGTGATGTTGTGGATGTTTTTGATAATTTTTCGTGGAAGATTGCTACAGTCTTGAAGGGTTTGGACAGAGATCATTATTTGGTGAGGTTACTTGTAGTTACCCAGGAATTCAGAATCCACAAATCAAACATCAGGGTCCGCCAATCTTGGGAAGACAACAAATGGGTTGTGATTGGAAAGGTACTTTGCATTTTTCGCCTCTCATCTGTATAAATTTGCTGGTAATTTATAAGTTGTCCTCGGTAGAGTTTCAAGACTTGTATTTTTTGTCTCTTATAATGTTTGTGCATTTTTTGTTTCTCACATTGTTTACGAAGTGTTTGTAGCTTTTGTGCTTCTATCAAATGCACTCTGGTTTCTGGTGTTTTCCGTACTTTTTTACTCGGAAATGTGTACCATTGCTTTTATTTGCCATGCTCATCTTTGCATTGTCTGATTGTATGTTGGCTGCTGCAACAGGGGTCTAGAAGTTGTGAAGATGTGAAAGCAAACAAGTTGTCAACTTCAATTTTTCATTGCAAAACAAGCTTTCAAAAGCTGCAAGTCAATACAAAGATCAAGCTGCAAGCAGGAGATGATCATTTTGCTGCTCAGGAGAATGAAGGACTGCAGGAACCTTATATGGTCTCTTCTGGAACACTGAAGAGAGCATCTCCATACCGCTCCTCTCTTTTTGATGCATGTACTGCCAATTTTCAGAAAAGAAGAGCAATTGAGAATGAAGGTAGGCGTCAGAGATTTGCTCCAGCTCCGTTACAAGAAAAGGTAGATGCTGTTGTTTACCCACGAGAAAATCTGGGTGAAAAATGCATGCATTCTTCCTCTAACAATAGATCAAATGGATATTATGAAATGGAGAGGGCAAAACTAAGTGGTTTGGTTGGTTGTTCTATTGCAAGAAGCTCAGAACCTAATGATTCTGATAGTGATGAATGCTCCGTTGGTAGTTGTAGCGTTACTAGTGAGAGTCCAATTAAGTTTCCCAGTCATTTTGTTGCAGGTCGTCTTCAAGTTACAGATGCCCTTTGTAGTGATGCAGAATCTTTTTCTGGCTCAGGAAATCAGGAAAACTGTCTCTTTCCTCTACAAGAGGAAGTGGTAGCAAGTGTCCATAGACTAGAATTGCATGCATATCGCTGCACTCTTGAGGCATTGTATGCTTCTGGCCCCTTAAGTTGGGACCAAGAAGCACTGTTGACAAATCTCCGTATTATGCTCCATATTTCAAATGATGAACATTTGACGGAGCTAAGAAATTTAATTTCTGTTGGAACTGGTATTCATATTAGTTAACAGTTGAAGTATTTCCTTTTTACCGTTCATCATAGGATCCTCTTTGTCTTTGATGTCCAAAAAGCCGTTGTAAGAAGCAGGATCATATGTTGCATTTTGTAGATTCTGTCTTGGTTATCTAGTCTTCTTTAGACAGTTGAATTTTGTAACTCTGAGATTATGTATAAAAATTTGCACCAAGAAATGAATGTATTCAGTCTCATCCTGGTTTGCTCTTTTGGTTTTTGTTTTGCGGCTTATAACATGTTACAATTTGTAATAATGACCTTGAATGTCATTTCAAAAATATTTCGGAGTTACCTATATTATATCTCTGCAAGTGTTACATTTAAGGGATGCACTGATAAACCTATGTTTCCATTTGGTGTTAGATATCCCTTATTACTTTCTGTTATTCTGAAATTCAATCTTCAAGCTTTTCTGTTTGATGAATCACTGGAAGGATATGAAAGTTTCCAAGTCTAGTTTACCTCCTGCATGTCTGTGCATGCATCAAAGACAGCTGCTCGTGTTTATACGCACGTATTTATAATTAGTTTGTTGTATCAACCTTTTTCTTCTTCCAAAAGAAGCTTACTTGGGTTCTAGAGCTTTGTGGAAGCACATAGAAGCTTTCTGGTTGGCTACAGGAATTTTTGCACGGAATTTGCACTCTGGATATTAATGAAGTTATTAAATATTCAAAAGATAGATGAAGACCATGCTATTAATGAGCTATTAATGAAGTTGTTAGTTTCCAGTTAGTAACCTTCTTTATTATTTTCTAGTGGATTCATAGCATTAACCATATGACACGTTAAATGGTATGACAGCTATTCCATGCTATTTGGCTATAATGTGAAGATAGTTTTGATCAAATTTGCATAGCTTTGATTTCCTCCATACGATGTGGCAGCATATGCAAGTTCCCCATTGAGGTTGTTATTGATGAATGCCCTGCATTTTCCAGGGCCACAGTTGGAGGCATGCATCTTTTGCTTCCAAAGGTCTAAAGTTGATGCTGGGGTTGCCGCCTTTCTCTTGGCATAAACATTGGGGGCAATATCTGCATCCACTTTCCCACGTATAAGCCAATTCATGGCCAGCCTCTGTTATCAGTGGTTATACTGGTTCACCAGTATCTCTCATTTCAGGCCGGCTTTTTAGATTTGTCAAGATATCTTTTGCCGAAGGAAGTAATATCTTCTGCTGAAGGAAGTAAAACTAAACATTTGGAAAAGCTGCCATAAATATCCTGATCTGGAAGGTTCTCATTAAACTTTTAGTTCAGATATCCCCCATTATTAAACTGTTTGCTTGCCGATCTGTGTTCTTACTCTTCATATATTGTTGTTTTGCCAGTGCATATAATTATATTATTTATTAATTTTATATCATTATCCATCAATTCGACCTAGAACAGGCAATTGGAATTCCGTAGGGTTTAGCGTGATTTAACACGCAGTTTTAGTTTTTTTTTTTTTTTTTTTTTTTTTTTTTTTTTTTTTTTTTAAATGACATGGTTATAGAAGCTTATGGCCACTCTTTAATGACTCTTGTACTTTACGAAGGTAAAATTCTATTGTGCAATGTGCATAACGTTCAATTCCTATAGGATGCCTGAGTTTGAATTTTCATTAACACATCATCATTTATTATTTTCTTTTGGTTAGTTTTATGACAGTATCAGTATGGTTTACTATTCTAAAGTGATGGTAAATGTGTTCCGAAACTTATCAAGTTTTATTTGTGAAGTTATATTTTGTGTCACTTATGTTCTGCTAACCAATTATTTGAGAGGTGAAAATAGTAGTTGGAGGAGGAGGAGTATTTAAATTTTATTCCATTTAGTGTTGTTTTTGGAATTTCACAGATTTCATTATCATGTTGCATAATAGGTGAACAAACATATTGATAAATAGAAGAATGCAGAAGGAAAAAAAATTAACGAAATACAGCCTCTTCTATTTTTCACTTTTTTTTTTCTTTTATTTTTTATTAGGAAACATCTGTACCCATCCTTGACCTTTTAAAATGATAATTGACAAATGATTTTATTTCAAGCGTGTAATATAAGCTCCACAAGTTGAAAAGAAGAATAGTTGAACACTTGAACTATTTATTTGGAAGTGGAGTTTTGTTGGACTTGTGGAGTGACCATGAGTGAATCTGACTCTTGACTAAAAGTTGTTCCTAACCTAACCTAATTCTCGTTTGTATCCCCCCTTTATTGTTATCCATCTTAAGTCCTGTGGGTATTAGAGCATCTGCATTAACCTCTTCAAATTTTTAGTCAAATTATAGCTAAAGAAACTATTTTACTATTTTAGCTAGTCACCTTTTTAGTACCTACTGCATCAAACTCTCTATTATAACTTAATTTTATTAAAATATTGTTTTCTTATTATGTTTGTTATTCTTTATTTTTTTATTAAATTGATGAGTTACCAACCAAATAATTCTTAAAAAATGCAAAAAAAAAAAAAAAAAAAAACCCCGTTGACCGGCCAGACTTTCGGTAACACTAATTTCCATGTTGTAGCGATGAACAGTACCTCGCTTGTTGTAGCAAGGTACTATAGCACTCGTAAATTAGCGATGAACAGTAGCGAGACTAATGCACGTCCATTTTTGATGAACAATATCACTAATTTAGCTAAAAAACGATTTTAGCTAGATTGATGCGGATGCTCTTAGACTGGGAGGACTTCTAACCCTTTACTCTCGTAAATCTTTTAGCTGTTCAGTCTGTGTCCATTGAGCTTGCTGAATATGTGACACGTAGTGTGGTTTTTCAGACATGGCCTTCAGGAGTTGTCTATCGGTCCATTGCACTTAAAATGGCTACACCTATGACATGCACAATAGTAGGACAAAATAAAGGGCCATATCCCTGACTGGTGACAACCCACATGTACTCCTACTTGCCAAGATTGACTAGATCAAGAGTTTAAATTATTTAATACAAAGCCTCAAGTAAACCACTTACGATCCAAACCTCAAATACGTTAACCTTGACATGTTCACCTTGAAGTTTGCAAGTTCAAAGGCTTGGACTCCACTGACCAGCAGCTCTGACTCCATTTTCAGCTTCATTTTGTGTAGATTTCAGCTTGCTACTCTGATTATAATCGGCCAGTTGACAAGAATAACCAATGCACTAGAGTGAACTAAGTGCGCATGTGTACATGAATTTTTTTGAAACTGCTCAATCTTGAATCTCTAAATAATTTATTACTCAAGAAGATCAAATTCAAAGATTGAGGTTCTTGTGTTTCAACGTCTGATCCTAGTTTGTATAGGTTTTTCTTGAATGAGAAATGAATTTGGACAAGCTGAACCCTCAACAGTTACCTAAATAGTCCAGACTTAAAGTCAATAAGTATTGAACACATAAAGGACTAAAAAGTGGGCAAACTAAGGTCATTTTAGGCATTAAAAATGTGTCGTAAACTAATGCAATATGCTTATGAAATTATACTTGTGACGATATTGGAACACGCTGTGTTATCTTTGAAGATCTTGAATCTTGAATGCTTGGAAACTCGAGCTATACTCTAACCTGGACATCAACCGTTGTTTTGTCTACATAAATTGCTGACGCACTAAATCCTAAATATGGCAAATTCAAAATTAGGACATGGACCTGGCGGTGAAATAGTATCGAAATTGTACAAGCAAAGAGACAAATTTACTTCCACTTGCGTAATTTATTTGTCCACTTTGACGGTAATGAGTATACTTGTTTTATGATAGTGCATTAAATGGATTCACATTTATAGATTGTAGTGTAATATTTTAGTTTTGCTCATATGTGACTTGGAGATTATGTAATAAGCATTAATTGACCTCAGTATGAACATTGAAGTTGGGATTCAGGATGGAGAACTTATCAAGAAAAATAATGATAATAATAATCAAGAAGGAGAAAGTAACATAGCAAATGAAGCTAAAAAAATATGTACTCTTGTATTTTATTACTTTCTTTGCGACTGTATTTTTCTTCAAAATTTATTTGTCTGTTGCATGCTTGACCCAGTATAGTCCATGTGTTTGATGTCATGCAGTGAACAGTGTCTGTGAAGTATCACCAAGCATCCAAAAATTACGAAATTTGAATTATCGACCTGTGCAAATGTTGCTAGCGGTGTTATGAAAGTGTTGGTGTTTGACTTGTGACGAAAGGGCTCCTCTTTGAAGTGTCCCTTCTACTTATGTCAAATTGATACTGATCGTTTCTTCAGTGAGGCTGACATTACTTCAATTTTCCTGTCGTGAATTTTTCTGCTTCTGTCAACTTTCTCTGTATGTCTACATTTCTTTATAATTTCAGTTAGGATTTAATTCCTTTCATATTATGACTATAGGTCTAGGAGATATGACCTTTGATCACTAGGGTTCTTATGCCTTATAGGTCCCTCTACTCTACCCGTGTGTAGACCAATCTGTGTTAAACCTTTTGGTTTAAATTTTGCTGATTTGACTAAATTCTTGAAGTTTATGACTAGTGCATTCATATGAGTAGTTTGGGGACTTAGACATGAGGAAATCTGATTTCTCTTATCAAAATTAATTCCGACAAGTAAATCTCTAGTCATAAAGACTTTTTGTGTTTAAGAATCTGGGTGGATTAGAGTGTTTGAAATTTAGATTTATTGCCTGGCATCACCATCACTAGCAAGAAATGAATGATGTCTTTCCTGACTGAATTACCAGTGGTAAAGCAACATGATGTTTTGTCATATGTAGGTGTTAAGTAAAGTCAATTTGTAGATTTGAGTGCAGGAGCTGTTTTGGTGTGTGTTCTTTTGAATTTTTAAATTTCTACGTCAATTCTATGATGTCATGACTGCAACCTTCACTTCAGGTCTAGTTCTGAAATTTTTAGCCCTTGTAACATAATATATTATCAAGTTGGATATGTTTGTTTGGAGTGGGCTGTTGCAATTTATGGAGAAAACTCTATTCCTCTCCATTGTCTTCTTCACAATCTAGAAAGATAAGAAGATTTATATTCATCAGAAGTTATGAATTCAGGAATTTGCTGTAACGGCGGTAGTGTAATGCCAAAGATCTTCTTCTTCTTCTTCTTTTTCTTTTTTATTTTTTTTAAAATTTATATATATATATATATTTTTTCAATACAGAATATGCTTTTATATAACAAAAAAATTTCCAGTTTTTATGATTCAGAAGCATTCTTTATGGTTATGATCTACATCTCCCCAAGAAAGAACAAAGGAGAACCAAAAAGACCAAACTTGTGACTAGATCATTAGTGTTCCATAGTTTATTTACTTTGTTCATTTGGGAAACTCCTGCACATGTAATTTTGCTTTTAGGTAAAAGGAGATTAGAAATATCACAATCCAATGATATTTAGTTTATATTTAGTTGATGAACTTTGTGGTTGTGTAAGGATGGCCCTTTATTCTCATCAGTATTCAAGGTATTATTGAATACATATACATTATATACACATACATATGTATGTGGATTTGAAGCTAAATTCTGCTGAGTACTTCCTAATTGTTTTCTAGGCATATAGTAATCTTTTTCGTCTTTGGAAGTGAGGGAGTCCCATGGAGCATGTTCCTATAAAGTGCAGAGTCATTTGAACTGTTCTGTTATATCATTTGTAATGGAATATGAGTTATTGCAAGTTTTCTCCAAGTGCAAGGTTCCCTTTACATTGGATGTTATGCATAGCAAGTTGGAGGTGTTTTGCTAGGAGTAGTATCATTAAGGTATGTAGATCAACTAGAAAGATGGACGCCAAAGAGAAATATGCAGAGTAAAGAATTATTAGGCAGGAAATATGCAATGCAAAGAAGAATTAAAATTTAAGAAGGAATGGATTAAATAAGGTAGAAGGCATGTAAGATTTGTGGCTACTTCCTGCTTTCTGAATTGAGAGGTGATTGTACTTATAGAGGACGGTAGCTTGAAAGTTATTAGGAATAGTGAAATTGTTTAAATTTAGGTATTGGAGCCCGAAGAGAGCAACCAAGATATCATTTATCATAAAAAAATAAAAAAGGAAGAAGAAGAGAGCAACCAAGATATCCGTAAACAATATCAAGTGTTTTGTGTTAACAATTTTCTTCTCATCATTTACCTCTCATGGTTTCCTATATTTGGTTGTTATTTAGTTTCTCGTCACGATGTGTGTATGCTTTTTTTCTTCTTTTTTATCTAGCTGATATGTCTCATTAGATTGTGCTGTGTAAACTTTTCTTATACCCTCCAAGTCTATAACAAGATAACAGTTATTCTGGTGATTCTTTTCAGGATTGTATGTTCTTAGGATGGAGGCACTACAATTCACCAGACGGTTTATTTTCCCAGGAGTGGGACTGGTACTGCAGGATCATTGGTGAGAAAGGTCTCTTGAAACTTGTACTGTATTATTATGGTCATTTTGGAGATATTTGTGATTTCTATTTTGTTCAACTAAACAAACACAAATAAATTAATGTGCGGGTAGGGGAATTTTTTTTTTTATATCGATGCTCGGGAGAAGGGGGACGGGGGCAGCACTAGCACCTTTAAGAAGTTTCATATCTGCTGGACTTTTCTTTCACATTGAATTTCTATGCTTGATCAAACCACTTTCTTATCTTTGAAAAGAGACTATTATTGAGAGAGCACTTACAATGAAATTGTCTCTCTTGCTATGCTTCATGCTCTTTTATTGTAATCATTGCTTTCTACATCATGCCTTATACTTCATTTTTTCAGAGCTGTGTTTTATTAGATAACCTTGACGGTCCGTCATATGGGTTAGTTAGTTGCCTTTTTGTTTGAGGGCAATATTTTTATAAGGAGATGCATTAGAAATATAAAGCCCTCTTTTATGATAGGAATTCATGTGTTTATGGTTGTAAAATGATAGGGTTCGTGCTCCCTGGTTGTGGCTCTTATGGTTTCATTTGTTGGGAGTGTTCCAATCTCCTAGACCTTTGTTTGTGGGGCACAATCTCTCCAATAAGCCACCAAAAAGTTTGTGGGCCCTCTTATTTGACCAGCCTGGACCTTCATGGGTTCATGTGGTGCTTATAGGTGCATCTTCTGGGTCATTGGATCAGCTTTAAAGCCTTTGCTGCAATTGAAAATGGTTCGTAACATAGTCCCGTGTTTTGAAAAATTGAATCTCTGAGACGACTTTCATTCTTATCAAAAGTATGTACTAAGCTCCAAACAACTCCCTTTGAATTGAATTGACTTTATTAGAAATGGAAATAAAATATATAAACCTTCATTCTTTGAAATTTAGGAGTTTACTGAAGGCGCATCCCCGCCGCTGTAGTTAAATCATAATAGGCCCATGTTGGATGCCTTAAAAAGCATGATTAAACGATTTAACTTTCATGATAAAAGCTTTAAGTAAAACACATTATAGAGATGTATGAATTATGAAACTTGGGTTTTGCCATGCTTCACCGTCTCCTTTTTGTAGCAGATTCAGTTTTAGTTGTTGATTGAGCAAACATTAAAGGATCATCAGTTGAGGCTTGGGGCTCAGTAGTGGCTGGGTCCTCAAGTTCATGGCCATGCTACTGATATCAGGAGGTACAGTTTTCCTCCCTCCTATGCGTAAAACATTATTATGACCAAATTTGTATTGTTACCACCAACTGATTGAGTTCAAGGATGATGGTTAATATAATGATGATATTGAATAGCTGGGCATCACGGATTCAAATCATGGAAACAGCCTTTCACCACGCACGGGGGTAAGGCTGCATACATACTCAACCTGAACCCAACAGTGGCCGGAGCGTCATGCCCGGTGACTGGTGACTGCCCTTTCAGTAGCTTGTCATACTGATGTTTAGAACTCCTAGTGAACTTATTCTTATTAGGTGGACCTTTAACTTCTATCAATTCAAATGGGCACATTTTTGTTGAGTCAAATGTTGGATCAAAATGTTGACCTTTATTTTATTTCGTGCATGTAAGCCAGGGAAAACTTTTTTTTCTTCATTTAGAAGAGGCATAAAACAGCAACAAATAAGATGAACTATTAGATGGTATGCCTGCAAATGCAGTAGTGCAAGAAGGTGTCAATCAAGCTCTACCGATTTCCAAACACAGCTGAAAAAAGAAGCGGAAGAGAAAACACGGTGAAGTCATCGACATCCTTGTGATTCTTTGTGCAAAGTAGTGTAGGCATAATTTGAGTGAGAGAGATTGCAGCAGAGAAGACAAAGGTATTGATCTTGGCTGTCTCGTTCCTCCATCAAGGTCTGCTCACAGTGCCAGATCAACACGAGGTGCTTATAAATAATCTGTTAAAGAAACTGACAAGGGAAATTTCAGAGCAATGACATGTGGTGTAAAAACATGGTTCTTGTGGATGTGAAGTTGGGTGAGAGATTTGTTTGTGAACTTTCTTTGCTATAGAGCAGCAATCTCGCCATCTATTTGTAGTCTCACAAAAAAATTGGTTTATTATTTTGTTAATTTGAAATCGTTCTGGCATGAATGTTGAATTTGAAGTTATTATGGCATTAAAAAAGTCTCGTTCTTGTTACTCATCATCGCACCAGGATATGCAATGAATAATAAGGTACCACCTTCTTAGTTGAATAACTGGTTTTATGTCTTCTTCTGGCGGTTATAGTTGTTCCATTCCAGTTGCATTTGAATATTTCATTGCTAATGTTAACCATTCTATGGATTCTCTGAATCTGTCTCTTGATAAATCCACTTTCTTAAAAAACATATCAGCAATTAAAATCATGAATGAAGAAAAGCCATTCATGATTTTCATGGATAAGTGATGCAGAAAAATCAAATCCCTTTCCATGATTGTTGTCTTTGCCCAGGTGGGTGGACACTGGAGGATTCTCGCAATTGATAACTTGATGAAGGAGGACAAGTATTGCTTGCCCATTGGTATTGCGAGTGCAAAACAGGGAGCTGACGGTGAAGCAAAAACAATCTATACTATATATTAAGTAAAAGGGGATTTTTAACCCCAAGTCTTGTGGGAGCTTCAATCTCCTAATCTAATTTTCTTGATTTTTTTATTTAAAAAAAAAATAAAATTAGCATTTATTAACTTCTCTCAACCCCCAAGTCTTACCCTCATAATAACACTTTAATGCATTAAGAACAAGTATAAAAAAAATTCTTTGAAATCCAACACATGAATTCCTTGAAAAGTCCCAACATATATGATTATTATCCCTCATAATAACACTTTAATGCATTAAGAACAAGTACCACCTTCTTAGTTGAATAACTGGTTTTATGTCTTCTTCTGGCGGTTATAGTTGTTCCATTCCAGTTGCATTTGAATATTTCATTGCTAATGTTAACCATTCTATGGATTCTCTGAATCTGTCTCTTGATAAATCCACTTTCTTAAAAAACATATCAGCAATTAAAATCATGAATGAAGAAAAGCCATTCATGATTTTCATGGATAAGTGATGCAGAAAAATCAAATCCCTTTCCATGATTGTTGTCTTTGCCCAGGTGGGTGGACACTGGAGGATTTTCGCAATTGATAACTTGATGAAGGAGGACAAGTATTGCTTGCCCATTGGTATTGCGAGTGCAAAACAGGGAGCTGACGGTGAAGCAAAAACAATAAAGGATTACACAAAAACAGGTTTAAGTTGCCAGGCCATGGATCCAGTTTGTTTTGTCATATATTAACTTCCACCAAAAAGTTCAATATCCAGAGAAGTCACAACACCTTATAAACCTCTTCACAAATAAAATACCACACCCATTTAATAATAGTACCAAAAAGCCATACACATCATCCAAAATTCTCAATTGGTAAGTCATGTATGATAGAAAATTTGGGACACCAATCCAATGAGACACTATTTGGGAGGACATATCCACGGAGGAAACCCTATCTATTCAAATGCATCATCATCATCATCCGGAAGGGGCTGACTTGCAGCTGCAGCAAGCTCTGCCTCGTGCCTGCAGAAACCATCAATCACCATACAGTGCACAGTTAAGAAGCAAACTAATGGTGTGCAGAAATACATGAGGGGGAGGGGAGGGACTAACAATAGTAATGAAAGGTGTAATGTAACACCACAGGCCATGAAAAAATTATTCCCCATAAAAGTCACTACTCAATGACTTCAGATACAGGGAAGATATAACTGAGATGAGATAATTCTTAATTGGTTGAGTTACTGAAATTTTGCTACACGTGCAGAGAGAGAGAGATGTGTGGTTGTAGTACAAAAAACTTACTGCTGCTGTGCAACCAAGTCAATCTGCACTTCTGGAGGAGCAAGGGCAGGAGACTCCACAAAATGCAAGTTTGGATCCCTACAACCAGAAAATATTGTTGGTACAGAATAAGCAAAGAGAAAATAAAATGTCCATTTCTAAAAAATTGATCCTTACCCTGCAAGTTTTCTGGCAAGGTACAGGAAAGGCTTCTCAAAGTTGTAATTGCTCTTTGCTGATATCTCATAGTATTGCAAGTTCTTTTTCCGATGGAAAGTAACTTGTTTTGCCTTCACTTGCCTGTTCTTCACATCAACCTTGTTCCCACAAAGTACAATTGGGATATTCTCACAGACCCTGGCATTGACAACAACATTGACAACAAAAAATACTAAAATATTTAAATACTGTACGAAGTCAAACTAATCCAACCAGAAACTATGAAATTAAGATTTCTGGATATACCGGCAAAGATCTCGGTGCCATGTTGGAACATTCTTATATGTCAATCGGGCAGTCACATCAAACATGATAATGGCACATTGTCCATGGATACTGCACATAATACAAACTTTAATCATGATACTTGAAGAGGCTGCAACGTAAAAGATATTCCAGAAATATGATCTCTACCCTCTGCTACCATTTTTCAACAAAAGAATTATTGTGCACCATAAATAAAAATGATCTGAAGGAGAACTTCAAAACTAAATGAGTTGGGGGTAGTTTAGATAAAATACTCTAGGCACCAAATATTTACTGTAGTTGGATACCCACAGCATATTTTATAAAAGAAAATGCTACAAATATTTATCACCTTAACAAAACTTGAGGCTATCTTTGAACTTGGAATCCAGCATGATACAAATAAAACAAATAGATTTACTTACTAGTAGCCATCCCTAAGGCCACCAAATTTCTCCTGCCCAGCTGTGTCCCAGCAATAAAACCGAAGTTTCCCACAGTTTGTGAAGAAATCCAGAGGATGAACTTCCACACCAATTGTTGCTATTCATGATTTAAAAAAACAAAAAAATAAAAAAAAAATAAACCCAATAAGTCTCATACATAAAAATACAGATAGCATAAACTCATAAAAATTTTAATTGAAAGAAAACAGTGGATCCCTCTTCAGCAGACTTACGTTCATATTTCTTCTCAAATTCACCCGTAAGATGTCTCTTCACAAATGTTGTTTTCCCTAATTTTTTTTTAACAAACATGATGATTTCAGCCAAAAGACAATTTCAATCAAACTAATAACATAAAAGCCGCACGAAATCAAACACTAACTCTAACAATCATGAAATTAACTAAAATCAAATTTGATTACCAAATCTGAAATTTAAACCCTAAACATGTAATATCAAAAATGGCATAAGCAAGAAAGATCCTAACCCAGTGATAAGAAATGACAGACAGACCACTACAAAAAACCTATATCAAAACCCCAGAAATGACATATTAAACAAATGTCATGACATAAAACAACTAAATTTCATTAAAATTTGAAGTTTTTCCAATACCAAAAAAAAGAAAGGGGTGGGGGGGGTGGGGGACCCTAACCCTGTGACTAGAAATGACAGCCCCTTTGACCCTTCATTCTCAGATAGAGAAACCTATCATAATTCTCCGCCCCTATCAAATAAAGTGAAATGGAGGAGAATTCATCTCTAATGCTTCGTGGAAGTATCTCATAGACCATAGAATTTATCATGAAGTTGTAAAATGGAAATATCACCATTATTCCATAACAAGTCTAGGGCCCATAGGTAGCTTAAAAAATTCAGACACTAAAAAACAGCAATATGAAAACCCTAGAAATGACATATTAAACCAATGTAATGAGACATAAAACTACTAAAATTCCATTAAAATTTAATGTTTTCCCAACACAAAAAGAGGGAATAAGAGCTATCATTAATGTCATTTCAGCTTCCAAAACGATATAAAATACACACACAGTCTAATAGAAGGTCCGTCAGTTGATTTTTTATTTATTTATTCATTTTATTTTATGTAAATTTTAGTCCCAAGTTCCCAACAATGACAAGCCAAAAGAAATTAAGAAAAGTACAAATAAGAAACAACTCGGATAATCAACAAGAAAAGTAAACCTGTTCCACCATCGCCAACAATTACAAGTTTGAAACTCGGATAATCAACAGTTTGCTGATTCGGCAATGCCTGCAACCACACACACACACACATATAAATATATATATATATATATATCCACCATCAATTGAAACCAAAAAAGAAGAAGAAAATGAAAACTAAAACCCTAGGCGTTCTTTTGTTTCGAGGCAACATTTTTACTTTCCAAAAACAATCGAATGTAGAGTGAGAGAAATGAATGCAAAGAATGTGCGAGAAAATGAGATCGAAACAGAGAAAAATTGTGGAGAAAAGGCATGAAAACTCACCATTGAAACGCAGACCTGGAGAGAGAGAGAGAGAGTGTTTTGGGGGTTTGGTTTGGTTCATATAGGGGAGCAAAAAGTGAGTGGGGTTGTGAACTTCACGGGGGTAGCTTTAAGCTGACGCGACTCTCCGGACCGTCCGATCAAAAGAATTCACTGATGTGATGTGATGATAATCACAAGCCAGTGCCACTCACGTGATTCGCATCCCGACTCCCTTTCTTCCTCGGGTACTTATAGATGGGTATATGCATGAATCGAATCCTCCGGATATTTCAATTTTTTTGAATTTGGAATATGGGCTTGAATATCGGTAGCCCATAAAGCACGTCCCAGTCCAATACAACCGGGGGATTCAATTTGTACTCAAAATATATTTAAGGTCAAATTTGACAATTCTTAAAAAATTTAAAAAATCAAAAAGTCACTATCCTATTTAAATCATATCATCTTATTTAAGTCATATCACCTCTCTAACACATCACTTCAAACCCAACCCATATTTTATAAAAAGTCAAAAAGTGCACTTATTTAGTCTTCCCAAACTTGGCCTTCCCAAACTTGGCCTAAATTTATAAATTTTAGGGTTCCTTTTTTGATAAATCATATTTGTAACTGTTTTATTTTATAAAATTCAAACTATTTTTGAATATCTCATTAGGTTCATTAATTGTAAAAGGACGAAATAACCCTCCCTCTGCTTCTCCCGCGTCTAATCGATTCTAAAAACAAATCCATTCCGATTCCATCTATTCAATCCACAAAATTTCCCAAACAAAATCTCATCGTCGACCCCAGATTCACATTGCCTCATCATAACCCTAGATTCACATCGCCTCACCATCGTTGTCGTCCATCGTCCACTGTCGTTGGTCACTGCTATTTCTCTTCATCTCACCGCTGCGAAGGTTTACATTGGAATGAGGGTGCTTCGTTGTTCCAAAATTCCCTGTCGGTGGACTGAGTGTATTTCATTGACTGATTGTGGTCCATAGATTTCCGTATCCACCCACCATGATGAACAAAAGTAAGCAATACCGTTCCACATTTTGTTTTTCAATCATAATGTGATCACTGATGTATATATTTACATTTCCGCATTACTGTTGTTGTTTTTAAATTTGATTTTGTAAACATCGATGATGTGAGCATTCACATTACTGTTCATTAATGAATAAACTCACAGTAGTAGACATTGGTGTGAACATTCACATCAGTACATAGTAATGTGAATGTTCACATTACTGTCATTGTCAATATTGTTGATTGTTGATGTCCATAGAACCCCCAATCTTCACTCAACAATGTGATGAAATATGATGTAAATATTCACATTGTGACATCAATGTCAGACTTCTTGGTATTGTTGGGTGTTGTTGGTTCCACCATATGTTTTTCAGCCAATTATAACATAATGTGATCACCAATGTATACATTTACATTGCCCTATAACTATTGTTGTTTTTGAAATTGATTTTGTAAACATAGATGATGTGGACACTCACATTACTGTTAATTTCTGGATAAACTACCATTAGTAGACACTGATGTGAACATTCACATCAGTGTATAATAATGTTAATGTTCACATTACTGTTAGGGGTGTACACGGTTCGGATTGGTTCGGTTCTGAGAAAATCCAAGAATCGAACCGATCCTAACGGTTCTGTGATTTTGAGGACCAGACCAGACCATTACACTTGTAAAATTGGACCAGAACCAAACCGAAAAAACGGTTCGGTTTCGGTTTGGTTTACGGTTCCAAAAATTTCTATTTACAAGAATAAATTGCTAATATTAGCAAAATAATTACTCAAACTAATTACATTTAAATCATGATAAAAACTAATAATATTAAGGCATTACTTAATATGACATATCTATACCATCCTAATATCATTAAAATTTAAAAAAACCAATTAATAAAAATAAAACTTGATATTATATATATATATATTTTAAAATTCGGTTCGATTCGGTTTGAACCGCGATTTTTTCATAAAATCCATTAACCAAACCGCATTGTTGATATTGTTGATTATTGATGTCCATAGAACCCCCACTCTTCACTCAACAATGTGATGAAATACGATATAAATATTCACATTATAACATCAATGTCAAACTTGTTGGTGTTGTTGGGTGTTGTTGGTTCCACCCTCTGTTTTTTAGCCAATTATAACATAATGTGATCACCAATGTATACATTTACATTTGCCCTATAACTATTGTTGTTTTTGGAATCGATTTTGTAAACATAGATGATGTGAACATTCACATTACTGTTCATTACTGGATAAACTGACATTAGTAGACATTGATGTGAACATTCACATCAGTATATAATAATGTAAATGTTCACATTATTGTCATTGTTTATATTGTTAATTGTTGATATTCATAAAACCCCCAATCTTCACTCAACAATGAGATGGAATATGATGTAAATATTCATATTATGACATCAATGTCAGACTTGTTGGTGTTGTTGGGTGTTGTTTGGTGTTGTTGGTTCCACTCTCTGTTTTTCAGCCAATTATATGTTTTTATTTGAACAAACAGGCCTTCCCCGTAGATTTGATGGCAAACGAAAGAGAGAGGAATCGCGTGCCAACGACAAACCCGATCAAACAGCTAGTCCTGAACAAGTGAACATGAAAAATGTCAACTGCCGATCAAATATCACTGGATTGGTGAAACTGTTGAAGGATACAAAATTTACAAATGGTCAATTGAAGTGCCTTAGAAAAACACCATTTTGGCCTTTATTTGATTGTTTGATCAGTAATGAAGTCGAACTCAACCATTGCATGAAATACGATGATGTCATTGTACGTATAGTGTAGACATTCAAGCCATCTAGTGAGAGGTTTTACATCGGGGACAAGAGCATTCAGATTTTTAGAAGTGATGTTTCACTTATTTTTGGGGTGGACTGCAGCACCAAGCCGATGGACCTCTCTTATGGTGCAAAACCAACAGCCGGCATCATACACCGAATGTGTAAGGATGTTAGTCGGTTTAAGTGCTGCCAAAATACAAGAAATTCTGAACGCAACATTAAAGGGCACAAAGAAACAAGACAATGAAGAGGTTGCAAGATTAGTTTGCATGTATGCATGCGTCAAACTGTTATTTTCTACGTCCGGAGAAACAATTGGATGTGTTTTCTACTCATACATGGACCCATTAGACAACATGATCGAGTATGACTGGGCTGAGAGCATCCGGGCAACCCTGATGGGTTCAGTGGGCCAAAACTGGGAAAAACCAAGATGAGTCACTGGATGTGTTATGTTGTTAATGGTAAATCTTATAAAACTTATTCTATATTTAATATGAACATTTATGGGGTCTGCCCACTCATATTGTCAGCAAAACAAATGTGACATACACATCGGTATGCACTGGTGGCAAGGTTGGCATAAGTACACACCGATGTGAATGTTCACATTACTAGGCAATGGTGCAGAAGTTGACATCAGTGATGTGAACATTTACATTACTGTTCAGTAATGGATAAACACACATTAGTAGACACTGGTGTAAACATTCACATCAGTGTAGATTGATGTAAATGTTCACATTACTGTTAATTTATCAATAAGCCATATTATGTTATTGTTCACATCAATGTGTATTGATGTAAACATTGACGCTAGTGTTTTCCTCATGTTAGCACCCAAACAAATGTGGAACACACATTACTAGGCAATGGTGTGGAAGTTGACATTAATGATGTGAACATTCACATTACTGCTCAGTAATGGATAAACACACATTACTAGCCACTGGTGTAAACATTCACATCAGTGTTAATTAATGTGAACATTCACATTACTAGGCAATGGTGCGGAAGTTGACATTAGTGATGTGAACATTCACATTACTGTTCAGTAATGGATAAACACACATTAGTAGACACTGGTGTAAACATTCACATCAATGTTATTTAATGTGAACATTCACATTACTGATGTTTGTTATTTGTTTCAGTACTTGTTGTGTAAGCATACAACAATCATATAACCCCGTAACCCTAATGCCATTCCGCGATGTGTGAAGTGGGATCTCATAGCCTTATATACCAACATGAAGTCCATATCTTTGGCGAAGCTTGATTTAAATGAGGTAGAAGTACAACCAAAGATATTGTGCCCATTCACATAGTGAGACAAGGAATTATGTAACTAACATAATGTCTCTAACTCCAGGTATATGGCGGTGAGCCGATGGCATCCCCAACTGAAGCAAACATATACCATCATACCAAATTGAATGTAGAGCCCAAACCTGAGGTTTTGTCAAGTGCACCACCAAAGCAAGATGAAAGCAATGATGATAAAAGCAAAGACAGTCAAGGCAGTGACGACAGCGATGGAATTTCTGGCGATGCAATGGACTTAACTGAAGTTGAACATGACATCAACACCAGCTTTAACACCCCCAATGCTGAGAGAGGTATCATCATAGCACAACCAAATGAGCCGGATATTGTGGATGTACTTATAAAAGAAAACCAAAAAGCTTGGGGTCTTGTACGGCAATGGGAAGCAAAATACAAACAGTTGGAAGAATCGTGGGAGTTGAGGGCAAGGGTGATTGCTGCCATTGAAGCCAAATTATTTGACCAATCGAGCCCATCCAATATGGACATGGACATCAAGAATTCCATGGAGTGGAAAGATACAGAAATTCAGCGGTTGAAAAAATTGGTCATCAACCTAGAATGTGAAAAAACAATTCTTGAAGACCTTTTTGATGATCAATCTGTCCACATTATCACTCAAGTTAAAGCACAAAAGGCTCATTACAGCCTTAAGAAGCATCCCATTGCAGCATTGGAACACATTATCAGCCCACTATCGAGGGTAAAGTGCATCAAGTAGAAGGTAAGGAAAGAGCACCGGTTGGATAAGTTTGAATACCCCAACTTGCCTGGTCAAAAAAAATGAAGAGTAATCCCATGCAGTCTAAATTGTACAAGATTTAGACAAGCATCCACAAAAAAAGCACCTAACAAAGTACAAGAAGTTAACCTTGAACAACAAACTGAAGGTTTGAGCCAACATGA